GCGTTACCTACGGGAGGTGGTGGAGTCTCCTTCCTTGGAGGTTTTTAAGGCCCGGCTTGACAAAGCCCTGGCTGGGATGATTTAGCTGGGAATTGGTCCTGCTTTGAGCAGGGGGTTGGACTAGATGACCTCTTGAGGTCCCTTCCAACTCTGATATTCTATGATTCTATGATTCTAAACCCTCCTGTTTTACGCTGGCTGAGAGTCAGTCCGGACTAGAGAACAGGGTTGCATCATCCCCTTCGGGGGGTGGAGGCCCCGGAGGTCCAGAGCGAAGGGACTCCCTGAGGGGGCCCACGTCAGAGACAGATGTGCTAAGGCTCAGAGAGGTGCGGCTCCAGGAGGTGGAGGGGCCTGACCCTGAGAGAGAGTGGACCCCTGAGAAGGGCTGTCTCACTGAAAGGGGCACCTCCCACGGACCGCACGGGGCCAAGAGTGGGCACGATCTGTGAGTCCGTGACAGGGGGGACTCGCCTGCTCCTGCTGGGACGGCTCCAGTTACACCAGCCCCATGTGCCCCACTAGCCCGACAAGCACACGGCTGCCGTGTCCCGCCAGGTGAGCCAACCCCACAGATCAAACCCGGGAACACGCCCCCAGCAGGTGTCTCCAGCTTGACCCCCGCAGGCCCACGGCGGGTCGGCTGCCAGCCTCTGCCCAAGTGCTGCGCCCAGGCCTGAGCAGGGGGCTAAGATCAGCCATGGACACGGGTGACACGGAGCAGGGGGGATTGCAAGGCACCACCCTCTACCCAGGCACTGACTGTGCCACAGAGCCCAGGAGAGCGGCTGTAAAGGTGGCGGATCCCGGGCGAGACTCACCTGTCTCATAGTAATCGTACAGTCTCACTGGGGCTGCTCTGAGATTCTTCACAGGGAAATCCTGCTCCAGGGAGAAGGTGAAATTCGCCGCCTCCTTCGTCAGCTACCGAGAGAGCGACAGAGCGAGCGCCTGGGCTGAATGTCTGCACTGGCAGCTCGAACCCCCTCCTCCCCGAGGCTCGCACTGGCCTAGCCACTTCCCCCTGCCCCTGCGGCCTGGAGCAGTGAGAAAATGCTCCCCTGAATCCCTGTTCCACCCCCCTGCAAAATATGACCCCCTTTCATCACACTCAGGGCCCAGCTCCAGCTCCCCAACCCTGAGCTCCCCGTCGCTCCATTCATGGCCCTCCGCTGGGGTTTGGCTGAGTCTGGTCCCATCTCCCCGTCCTTTATGGAAATGGGTCACTTGGAACCAGGGGAGATTTCAGTGACCCCACGCCGGGCGTGTGACACAGAGCCCACGAGAGCAACTGTAATGAGGGTGGAGCCAGGGCAGGACACGCCCTCCCCATTCACACCAGGCCCACGGAGCCCCGAGCCTCCTGCACTCACCTGGTCCAGATAGAGCGTCACCTGGTCATTCTGCACCTCCAGCCACTTCACCAAAGGCTGCTTCTCCAGCTAGGAGCAGAGGGAGGAAACGGCTGAGCCAGGAATGGAGGGGCTGGGGCTGGAGTCACTGCTCTGCTGGGGGCTGGAACATGGGGCACCAAACGCCCCCGTGGCCAAGGGGCCTGGCTGCCACCCCCCATGTGAGTCACAGCTGAGCACTGGGTGTCTGCTGGGGGAGGGGCGGGAGTCTAGACATGGGTGTTGTGTCGTAGTGGGAGCTAAGCAGGGTCCGGACCTGCTCAGTGACTGGATGGGAGACCCAGGGCTGCACAGTGCCCCACGGCAGGGGACAGGGCTCTGCAGGGGGAGCTCCCCCTGGGGGTCAGAGCTGCAATCTGTGCTCTCCTGGGGGTCTGGGCTCTCCCCCATGGATCAGCCCCTGGTTTCATGCTGTGTGACTGGCCCGGCCTGTTCTCCTCCCTGGGAAGTTCACCTGCCGCAGGGAGCTCTTGACGGGGATGTATCCTGACGGCAGCTTGGCCTCGATGATGGCCATGTTGGTGGCTGGGCGCTCCCCGCTGTACCTGCAACAGGAGCCGTGCACTGAGGTTGGGGTTTGCCCTGGATACTAGACCGGAGGGGGAGGGGAGGCCTCCCATCTTCTCGGCCCTGCAGGCATCTCTAATGCCCTCTGCCTGCTCTGGGCTGTGATCCCCGCTAGCCCCCGGACAGCCCTGAGCTCCCCAGGCAAGGGGCCCCGGCCCCAGGAGCTCCTTGGGAGACGACTGTCCATTAGATCAGCCCGGGGACCAGCCCTTTTGTCCCTGGCACATTCCAAGGGCCTCCTGCCTCTGCCCCGAGCCCTGTGGGGGGATGGCTCCCCCGACGATCGATTCCTGCCCCGCCCCAGCCCTGCAGTGGGGCGGGTCTGCCCCGGCCATTTCCCCGCTGCCTGGGGCCTGTCCCTGCCCCCGGACCCGGTGGGGGGCTGGGGCTCGTACCGGGCGTGCAGCACGAGGCTGAAGCGGGATCTGGAGGTCTCGGTGCACTCCTTCGGCTCCGTCTCCACCCGCAGGTCAAAGGTCGCGGCGCTCTTTGGGGGCGGCATGTTGTAGCGCAGAGTCAGCTGGGAGACAAGCAAGAGGGTTGGGGCAGAGCCTGCTGCCTCCGCCACAGCAGATCAGAGCCTGGGCCCAGAGCCAGGCGCCGTGGGGCAGGGCAAGGGAACAGCCAGTCACCACTGGGCCGGCTGGTCCCCAGGGTCTCCTGCACTCACCTGCACAAAGACACAGCCCTTGCCGCTGGCCCGCACCGTGTACTGCCCGGGGATCTCCTGCAGGGCCGCTCGCTGCAGCACCAGCCGGTTGGCGTTCTCCACGTGGAATTGCTGCCGGGCCCCGGCCTGGGAACTCACCGTCACCGACACAGCCCCGCTCGCGCTGTTCGTCAGGGCTGCATATTTGGCCAGGGCCTGCAGGGCCACCACCATGTCCTGGGGAGGAGAGTCACCGAGCTGCTGTCACGCTCTGGGGAGAGGAGCCCGGCTCAGACTCACTGCAGCAGGATCAGGACCCGCCGGGTCTCCCCCAGCAGACACCCAGTGCTCAGCTGTGTCTGACATGGGGGGTGGCAACCAGGCCCCTCGGCCACGGGGGCATTTGGTGCCCCATGTCCCAGCCCCCAGCAGAGCAGTGACTCCGGCCCCAGCCCCAGTCCATGAGGAGGCTCTGCACCCAGGACTCCGTTTCCCAGGAAGGGCCCCAGCTCAGCTTCTGAGATGCAGTCCCCAGGGGGCTCCTAACCCCTTCCTGCACCACGGCCCCAGCGCTGGTTTACCTGAGGGCAGGGGTGTTACCTGCGTGTAGGCAAAGCCCCCGTAGGGGTAATGCTGCTTGCTGAGCCAGCGGACGATCTGGACAGCGGTCCCCATGTCGGCAGCAGACACGTTGGGCAGGGAGAGATAGGCCAGGAGCACGTAAGCCGTCATCTCCACCGACGGGGCCTGGTTTCCATAGGGGCTGGGCAGGGCCTTCACCTTCCTCTGCCAGTAGAGCTGTCCCCCTAGGAGAGGGACCGAGGGAAGGGCAGCCCCATGACTGCAGTTACAACACAGTGGGTCACCTGTTTGCTTTCCAAAGGGGCCCCAGGGGCTTCCTGGGCCAGTGGGACTCCTGCTCCCCACTGAATGCAGCCACCTCTGGGGCAGGACACGGCAGCTGATTCACAGCGCACAGGAGGGCTACACAAGTGTAACGCGACACCCCTGGGTGGGTCATCAGCAGGGACTGAACCCTGGATCTCTGACTCAAAACCCCTGAGCCTCTGCTGCCTGAGCTAAAAACTCAGCCGCGGTGGCTCACTGGCTGCAAGTGACCCTTAAACCTATGTGGTGCAGCCGCTCGGGGGCAAAGGTGGTGCTAACCCAATGGAGCCCTAACAGGAATATTCCCCCCACCCCCACCAGCCCATTACAAATATTAGCTGCATTATAGCCCCAAACCAATAAATAGCCCTGTGACGTTGCACTCCATATTCTTTATGAAAATATGCTTATGAGACTAATATGACATCACTGAGATACACGTTACGCAAGATGGCTCATGTGAGATATCATTGGAAAGGTTCTGATTTACTGAATGTGATTATCCAATTCTTATGCATGTATCATCTCTGTATCTAAAGTTAGGAATATGGACTATGTAACCATTACAAGTGGGTATGTATTGGGAAGACACCCACCGAGGACAGGCCATCAGATTTGATAGGCCGTCAGGAAGGAACAAAACCATGAAGATACTAATCTCTCTCCAACCTGGAAAGTGTCCAGGGATGTAACTGTGACACTGCTAGGTCAGGTGGTCTTGTCACCTGATACTAAACATTACTTGGGACTTCTTGTAACTTTCCACTGGAAGAGAAGGGGGGTCAAGTCTGGGAAACAAAGGATTCCCGCCTTATGTAAATCCTATTTAAGGGTGGGAAGGAAGGCAAATGCGGGGGGACTCCTCTCCATGGCCTGTCTGCCCAAGAAGAAAGACTGCTAAAGTCACCTGGAGGGCAGGCAAGGGGGGAGTCCAGACTGAGACAGGGGTCCAGTCTGAAAAGAAATGTAACTGGAACTCTGAACCACAGAAACTTTGCAACTTGCCTAAAATAACATTTAGGATAAGAAATTACATTTTGTAACCTATTTCTTAAGTATATTAAGCTTAGCTTGTGCACTTTGTTTTATTTGCTCAGTAATCTGCTTTGTTCTGGCTGTTCTCTCTTATATTCCCTTACAATTCACCTTTTGTAGGTAATAAACTTATTTCTCATTTATAATCTAACCCAGTTTGTACACTTTCGAACTGGGGGGAGGGGGCAGGAAGTCAGGCACATCTCTCTTCACATTGAGGAAGAGGGCGGATTTTTCTATACAGCGCAAGACAGTATTATTCTGGGTTTATCTCCCAAAGGGTTGTGCACGTGAGTGTTGGGGGAGTCATCACACACAGAGCTGACATCAGTCTGTGTCTGCAGCTGGGTGTGGCCCTACCTGTGTGTGCTGCAAGAGGCCGGAGAGCCTAATTCAGCAATGCACGGAGGGAACCCTGGCAGGCTCAGTGAAATCCCAGTACATCAGATGGTATCCCAGAAGGGGGGTCCAACCCATCACAATCCCAACCCCCCCCAAACCGAAACCCTGTTAAACAGGCCTCGTTACATTAGATGAACGGATATTGGGGGTAATACCAAACTGGGGGCCCCATGATCTGCTTGGGGTCCTAAGCAATTGCTTAGTCTACTTATGCCTCGTGCCACCACTGCTAGAGGGGGACAGAGAGCCCCTGACAGAATGAGGGGCCCCCGGGGTTGGGACAGGAGGGCAGCATGACCCAGGTGAAGGG